TTTTATGACGCTGTATAACAATAATATTTTTACAGTACTGTGACTGTGGAGGTGAATGTAGGCGTTAAAAATACAATTATTGGGTAGTTTATTAGACAACGTAAATAATGCTCTGTAAAACTACAGTTTTTACCTTACTGTGACTGTTGGGTTTAGGGTTGGAGCAGGAGCAGGGGCAGATGTTAATAAAATACAATAAATGGGAAATTAATAAATAATAGAAATAATTCTCGCCAACTTCCGGCCGCAAACCTATCAGATCTAGCAACAACCTTTTAAAAGCACCGAAGACTCCATTTTTAATTAGTTGATGCTGGTGTTGTGTCAGACCAATCAGAGAGCCGTTGTGGATTGCCATGCCTCCGTTTTAAATTGTGTATCGTTCTCTGATTCGTCAGTCACCTCTAATGGTCAAAAAAATATGCATCATGCATTTTTATGCTGGATAGTGTACTATAATTGTACTTCAATTGTGGTTAATTCATGCAACATTTGCCTCGATGTCGTTTAAACACATTTGCAATGCATGATTGTTTTCCTCCCATTTATCTGTCTTGTATTCTCATATCATCTGTTTTCAGCCCAGAATGAGAGGAAGAGGATGGAACCGTGGAAATTACCCAGGCAACAACCCCAACATCAACCCCCCGAATATGGGTGGCCCCCCGCGTCCCCCAGATGAGGAGTGGGACCCTGAATACACCCCCAAAAGTCGAAAATACTTCCAGGTGTGCTAGCATTCATCTCCCCTCTTAAACGGCATGTAAAAACTGGTGGTGGGTTGCTTCGCTTGTCCTGAATAAGTGAGCAATTATGGGACAGAATAAGCTGCATGGTGGCCAGTAGGAGAGTTTCAATTTCCCTCTCTCTCTCATCCCACTGCAGCACGACGACCGGGACAAGGAGGGGGAGATGAAGTGGCTGGACACAAGGGGACGCGGAAGAGGGAATTTTCCACGTGCCAGAGGCACCTTCATGGTTCGAAAGAGTGGTGGCAGCCCAAAGTGGACCCACGACATGTTCCAGGGCAACATGGAAGAGGGAGAGATTGAGGGAGGCTCAGAGCACAAAGATGAAGATAAACCTGGGGAAAACCCTGCTTCTAAGCCATAGTCTGTTTCTGTAACTCAAAGTGCATCCTCTTTGTTCCGGTGTTGGACTGTATGATAAAACATGTCGTTTATAGCAGTGTTTCCCAACAATGTTCCTGAAGACACACCAACAGCTCATATTTTGGATGTCTCCCTCATCTGATCCATTACCTTCAGGTTGTTTGGATGAGTGGATTCAGACGTGTTTTGATTAGACAGAGGTTTAATGTGTACTGTTGGTGTGCCTTCAGGAACAGGGTTGGGAAACCGGTTTAAAGCACCAGTTTATCAGCATTTTCGTTTATTTTTTCGGTTTGCTTCAGGTGGTGGGAGGTGATTTGAAGAGCTCAGTCATTCGGTGGCTGACATTAATTTGATCTTCGTTTAAAAAGTGCAATAAGGAGATCCATGCACTTGTGCCTTAGATTTAACTGTAATTTTATCATTTCTTTTTTACGTTTTTGTTTTTTATTTTGGCTATATATTTTCCCCGTTTTGTGCATGTGCGTTCATGCTGCAATCATTTCTGTTCCTCCCATCTCGTCGTGTAATCTCAAAGATGTTCGGGTGTCCCTTGTGGACCAACACACTGTGTGGTGGGCCGTTTTTCTGAAAATCGTCTGCTAAAAGTGTACATACTCGGAGTTTCCCAGCAAATGTAACATCCAAATTAGTCCTTCCCTTAACGATACCACTATTTACTAAATAAGTTAAATTATACAGTGTAAATTAAACTCCTAATTTGCTCAAATACAAAACGTCCACCATTATAATTCTGATTTTAAAGTGTAGATAACGATAGAACATGCAGGAAGCAGCTTCTAGCGATGCGTTTATTGCATTACTGTGCTCGAACTGTCCCTCACGTTGTAAGATAGCTCATGCTGCATGTTTAGATCATGTGGTTTTTCTTTATTGATCTCGATACGCTGCACCGCTCGGTTGTGCTGTACGATGCACTGGAGACTCGATCGCTTGCTTTTCCTTGTAGACATCTCGCTTTGTGGTGATATTACTGTAACGCTGTGATCTTCTGTTAACATTACTCAGTGCTTTCGGTCTCCGTGGTGGATTTGAAATAAAAGCCGTCCTCTGTTTGATAAACAGTCGTGTTTTTCTTAATGTTTCATTGATGTAAGAGCGCTGCTCTCGACAGCTGGAGCTTTTTGGTGATTATTATGAAGAGCTTCAGCTGTGGTGTTGGTAGCCATTTAATGATTCAGTTCTCAGTTTATATGGTTTTGCATTGGGGCTGCACGATATTGGATACATTTAACATTGCAATTTTTCTTTCTCTGTGATATATTGTGATATAACTACATTTTCACCACATAAGCTCTATTTGGAAAGTCAATCGTTTAGATTGGGATGATTTTGCAGTGGAATGTAATATGAATATACAGTGCTCAGCATAATTGTAGTACACCTCATTTTGAAAGCGAATATTTGTATCCATTTCTCAGTGAATATAAGTAGTGTATTTTAGCACATTTAAACAAAACAGATTTATTGATTAAAATAATATTTTAGTTACCAAACTTATTTAGAAATGGAAAGATAATACAATTAAATTCAAGCAAAATATTGCATAAACATTACAACTTAAAATTTAAACTTTTTTTCCAATTTTTTTGCTGCTTTTTTTCCTCTTATTTTTATTATTATTATTTTTTTGTATTTAATATTTATCTACAACATAAATGAGGGTGTGCTAGTTTTTGGACCGCTATTGTGAGTTATTTTGTTAGATAAGCTCCAGATTTGGCTTCATGACTGACTAATCTAATGCATATGTCCAAATATAATATTGTACAGCTTGTATTAAAAATATGCATTTAAAAGTTTTATGAAGGGGGACCTTGTATATGCTGAACACTGTATTTTTATGCAATTTATGATATACTTTTAATAAACAAACTACAGTCATAAAAACAATGAAGCAAATTATAAAGTAAAATAAACCGTGCTTTATGGTTTTCTGCACAGAGTTTAACTGTATTCAGGTGCATAAATAAAATTAAATGTAAAATAGCACTGCATTGTCTTCATCTTTAATAATAATTGAATACTATTAATATATTATTTTATATTTCTTGAAAAAGTCTTAAATTTCATAAACACAATTTTAGGCCTTAAATTCACTTAAATATTGTGTTGTATGTCTTTAACAATTTTAAACTGGTCTTTATTTTCCCCAGTTCAAGTAAAGCTACCCAATCGGGCCAACATCCATCCAATTACCAGCAATCCATCTTAATAAAATCAGGGAAAGAAAACTAAAAACAATTACACAGTTCCTCGTGATAATAACAGAAATGCATTAGGTTGAATAAAAGTTATACTCAAATCAATTTGGACTAAAAGCCAACATGTGTGTGTTTATTAATGTAATTGCCTCCACAATAAATACACTTTTAACAATGTTAAATGTGTAATTTTAAAGAAAAAAAACTAAATATTATGTTGGAAATACTGCATAACTAGAGTTTTCTTGTTTTGACACATTTAAAGTATGTCACTAAGAAATAATTACATTAGTGTTTTTTTTTTTTTTTTGTGGCAAGCAAAAATTAATAATGAAATAATCGTAAGTGTTTTGCCCTGTATGTTTAAAATTTCTTTCATAAAGGTCTTAAAAGACTCTTAAAGAAGTCATCAATTTTACTTGAAACCTGCAGAAACCCTGTTTTAATCTTCTTTACGCGCTGTTAAATGCTTTGATTTCTCTTGAAATGCTCACAGTCACAGGCCTTAACAATAGTCACTCAGCATTGCATATTTTGCAATGATCAAACAATAAATTGTGCTGCCCCATTTTGCTTGTTGCAGGGCATATGCGTTAACCAATTATTTTTGACAATAGTTTGTGTAAAGTTTTTAGTAATCCTGAAGATCTTGATTAGCTGATTCAGGTGTGTTTGATCAAGGCTGAAGTTGTTCTACAAGCAGGACTGGACGGCAGTCTATTTACACCAGCAGAGGACAATCGGTGAGTAAAAGTGCATTTTAAAATGGCTTTTTTTTCCTGTTCATTTTAATTGTTACAAAAGACACCTGTTTGATTATGGTGAACATATTTCTCGCTGTAAATTAAAGCAGAGTTATGAGAGAAGATGACTTTCCAGTATGAAAATTGCCACTTTCCTCTGCACCGTGTGGAACAAATGGTATAAAGCTTTGGTTTTATTTAAAAAAATACATACAGCATAAATACCCATTCACTTTAAAATGTGTGTACAAGACATAAAAAGATCTGTCAGCACTTACAAATGATTACTTGGAAGACAAGCAAGGGCTTGTTGGAACAACCTCAAAAAGTATGCAAATCAAACATGGAGTCCTTACTTTGAAAGGTATACTACAACAAAATCACATCTGACAGTGGTGTTTGGGTGGGGAGAATGTATATTTCTGTACTTTCTATTACAAAGTCAATTCAAAAAGGTTAAAATAATTTTATATCCAACCTTATGTACATTACAATTGTTTTGAAAACCTTTATATTGTCTTTAATTTTCTTTTGAATGTTGTTATATTTTAGCATTTGTTTTCATATTGAATTCCCCCTCAAAGTTTAGCTTTGTTTCTACTGGGCAGAGGTGTGCAAACTCTGTACTGGAGGTAATTGGGATTCCCAATCCCAATTAGACACACATGAACCAGCCGATCAAGCTCTTATAGGTATGCTAGAAACTTTCAGGCAGGTGGCTGATTGATAATATGCGTTCTTGCGTCCTCGTGTGCTCATGTAACGTCATCAACTGCTAAATTTCAGTTCCAAAACTCAAGAACGAGGACGCGTGAAAGTTCCCGGATGTGTTCTAGATATCGAGGATGCAGATTTGAGCATCGAGCTCGCTCGAGAAGTCCCAGACATCATTGCTTCTGAATAGAGGAAGTGAGAAGTGCTGTATTTTATATCGATTTATTATCAAAGTTCAGAGATATCCCTTATTTACCTTAATGATTCTGAAAGTAAACAATATGATGAACATCTTTATAAAGGCATAAACACATTAAGAGTGTTTATTTGCTGAAATTTGTATTAAACTTAGTTTTATTTGTATTGTGTTCAGAGTGTATATTTATGCATTAGTATACATTGTGAAAAAGGAAAAACATTAACTCGTTTTATGAATGCTGTAATGTTTAGACAATTTTCCAATAAAATCGGATGAAGGTCACATGACCGTCAGGAAGAACGCAGCGTCTCATTTCCCAGGACGCGTTCTCGTGGTCTCCAGAGTTTGTTTTTCTGAGGTAACTTGGCAAGACCAGTCTCCACAAGAACGCGAGTTCTCTGCATTGAGAATTTGAGAAACAGCCATGCGTGTTGAAGAAAGTTGGAGCTAAGCTATGCAGGACACTGGCCTGCCAGGACCGAGTTTGGACATCCCTGCTTTAGGGAATGCAAAGGTTTGCAGGTAAACAGGTTTCCTGGGGTTACCGAAGACACGTTTGGGTACAAATAGAAAACCTTTCTCCAGAAACACAAAAGGTTTGCAAACAAACAAAGTTTTTTTTTAGGAAAAGCAAAGGTTGTTTGCACAAATACCTAGTTTCTTGTGGAGTGCATTTTTTTCAACGGGCCCATAACGTTTCTTTAAGAGCGCAAAAGTTTTGCAAGCAAATGCAAAGTTTGTTAGTCAATGTGGAAGTTTTACAAACAAATGTAGAGTTTCTTGGTCAGTGCAGAAGTTGAGCAAATGCATCTCTCCAGGACAGCATCTCATCAGAAACATGGTTTGACACTATAAACTTCTATAGGCATTGGTAGACATGGGCCGGTATAAGATTCTGACGGTGTGATACCCTTGGATAAAAATATCACGTTATTGTGATTACTGCTCTAAAATATGTTCGTTTTAAATGTCTAGGTAAAAACAAAAACTTTTTTTCCCTTTTGAACACAATATATTTTATTTTTTTAAAACTTTGAAAATATTTTAGAGCAGTAAAAGTGAGGCTGAATGATGAAAATAAATCATTGACTTCTTTGTCTTCATTAGTTTCAAAAACACAGATTTCTTAACAATTTAAAACGGCATCTTTGGAGATCTTTTCTGCTGGAGCTACTGCGGCCCTAAAAAAACTGACAATGCACATACCTCAGAAACGGTGTTACAGAACATTTTGGCGGTTTTAAAACCTTGACTTTTCCAAACCACAGTATACCTCAAAAACGGTTATCGTCCCATGCCATTGGAGCTCATTACTTGAAGCTGCAGGATTCTGGCCCTCCAGGAGCAGAACTGGACATGCTTGTTTTAAAGGACAATGGCTTTTCAGGAGCGGGGCTTGATATGTTCTCAGAGTTCAGCATTTAGCACACCCTCCTTTCTTTTAGCGCTCTTTAAAACTGATCAGCTGGATCGCATGCATTACTGTTAGAGGGATAGTTCACCTACATCTGAAAATTGTCATCCTTTACTCTTCACTTGTTTCAAACCTTTATCAGTTTCTGTCTTCTGTTAAACCTTCCTTCTATGGATGTCAATGTTTACAGCTTTCTTTAAGCTACTTTTGTATTCAAGAGAGAAACTCATAAAGGTTTGGAACCACTAGAAGGTGTGTTGTTGGACAAACTATCCCTCAAACTGCAGGAAACGGCCCTGCAGGAGCTGAGTTTAACACCTCCTGTCTTAAAAGTGGCTCCTTGTGCATAAATCATCCAGAAGATAACACTCTAGTGATAGTGAACTCTTCCCAGTGTGCCTGTGCTCAGTATATCCGGCTGTCCATTCCTCCAGATCTCCCTGACTATCCGCTCTCTCTCCTCCAGTCTTCTGGCTCTCTCCAGCTCCTCTGCTGAAGCGAACACGTTCACGCTCTTGATAGTGCCGTTCAGTTGAGTCTGATCACTCATGGGACTCGCAGTGACCACTGGCACTTCTAGATCCTCTTCATCTCCTTCGAGTTCCTCCTCTTGGTTGTCGTCTTCCTCATCATCATCCTCGCTGGAGTCTTTCAGTCTTTTCTTGTCAGGTGTGGAGGGTGCTTTTGTCTTTGGATGCGGTCGACAGGTGATTCCCAGTATGAGGAGCACCAGCGCCAGGAGAAGACCTGAACATACGCCCATCATGAAGTACAGCGCAAAGCTCTCCATGTTCGCTGTGTAAAATAGAGAAAATGTAATGTTTTACTTCAGTATCAAAGAGCTTCTGTGAATATAATCAGTTTTTAATAGTAAACATTTATGGATTTAATTTATTATCACGCTTGAAAGGAACACTTTGATTGACCATTTACCTTTTGTACGTGTCATCAGAGGGGGAAAGCCCCGCCCATTAGTGACCATCTCTCCCTCATTAGCATAAAACAGTTGTCTTGTTTTTGAATCTGCCACTATGCTGACACACAGGCATTTGTAGCTCCGCCCTCTTTTGAGAGAGCACAATCTCATTTGAATTTAAAGGGGCAGTCACCAACATGGCACGATTAGGATCAAAGCCTAAAAGGGGCAGTTCCAAAGAGTTATGAAACATTATTTGTAGTGTATTTTGAGTTACACTGTAACTGTAGGGACATTAGAGACTTTATTTACACCTCGTAAAAAGAGGCATAATAGGTCTCCTTTTAAAACTAGTGTTGTTTAATCACGATTGAAGGGCTAGTTCACCCAAAGATTATAATTCTGTTATTCACCCTCATGATTCTCCAAGATCTTCGTTCATCTTCTAAACACAGATTAAGGTATTTTAGTTGAAATCTTAGAGCTTTTTTATTTTCACGAGAAGTTCAAAGTCCACAAAAGGAACCAAAAACATTGTCAAAACATTCAATGTGTCTTCAACGGTAATCATATAAAGCTCCAAGAACATGTTTGTGCAGAAAATAACTATATAAAAATTTTTATATATATATATATATATATATATATATATATATATATATATATATATATATATATAT